CCGGTTGTGCATACCCGCGACCACGATCTGAACAACAATAACCAAATATTGGTGATACATTTGGAGCTTGAGGCATCTAAAATTGACGCGTCGCTAAGTATATAGCCTTGGTCGATATGAGCATTTGCCACTGACATCTTCCAAAAATGAGCTTGGTAATATAGACTAAACAAATTCCGACTCACCTGAGCTTTATTGGAAGGATACCCTGTCCAAAAGTATTCCACAGCAACCGGTATATGCCCAAATATCCCGAGATAGCGATTCAGATAGAAAAAGAAAGCGGCCCAGGAGAACCCCCGGTGTACCCAAAAACGCGATACTTCCAAGCCAAAGGTGAGGGCATAGTCGTAGTACAGTATCGCTAATAGAGACAGTGAGTGTTAGGCGCGACAGAAAGTGTCAGCCTCACATAAAGCCACTAAGGAAAAATAATAGTTAACGTTCCTACACCGAGTGAGCGTCATTTGAAAATGGAAATGATCATTTCAAACGCACAAGTCTTGATATTCCAACGACAAGCTGCTCGAATCAATCACTGACATTGGTGACTTGGGTCGAGGGAAACATAGGAATCTTCAGGGCACCTCTGGAGGGTGATGAGGCTGGGGCGTACTGAATGGTCAAGCGATTCGGGGACGATAAGCATGTTACGGCACAAACAATTTTTACATCGGCTTATAGTCCTTCGGGTCTGACTAGACTATTCTGATCTGCATCTGATCTGTCCAACATGAATGACGCATGATCATCACCGCTGCTTCGCGACACCGCGATCTTCTTCGCATAACTGGGCGAACATGTCTATGTCCAGCCATAGAACGCATATGAAACACTGCTCACGATGTTACCTTGGTGTCTTTCAGTGTTGAAGAGAAAAGCATCGATGAACATCACTTACTACGATCATTACTCAACGTAGATTCAAAGGGTAGGCATCCCCGTACCAGTACATCAACAGATGGAACACAGGTACAGTCTATATAGACATCAAGAGGGTTAATAACTTTGCGACTACTCTGGGCAACTACAGCGCCTGGACCTCAAGTTGCTAACCCCGAGGACAGACGAAAGTATCCATCGCTGGCCGTATTATTCACGCATTGATCTGACAGCGTCCCGAATGGCGACCTCGACGCGTCAGACTTCAAGTTCGTATTGGCCATGCATACAAGATGCCACTCGCTTTGGACAGGACTGGGCAGTGAACATCAGGCCTAAGTAAGCATCGGTTGTAGGCCCCGTATGTATGCAAAGAAATAACGGCAGCGAGTAACAATGAGCTAGGGACGGCTTCAGGTCAACTTCAGGTTCTGATCAAGGATTCAGCGCTCGGGACCGCAGGATCATTCAAGTTGTGCAAAGCGCGGCAAGGTCGGGCCGACAAGGTAAGCCGAGACCGCCGGGAAAGCCGTGTCACGCTCGAGCTTCCACCGCACAACACCCGTGACGGTTGTCTGCCTCAGTGTTTCCAGCTGTGAACCATCTGCGTAAGACAATGTTTGATCTTTGACTAACTGACCACCTGCAGACATTATCTTCCGTGGGCGGCATAGTAGATTTACGGTTGCCGGTGATTGATGCGCCCTACACGGTAAGTATGTTATGTTGCGTATGGTGTTTTCGTATGTTGTCTACCTTCCATCGGATTATTGATGGCTGGATCTGCGTCAGTGACGCAGATCAGCCGCCTAGCTCAACGACGCAAGCTTGTGCCATTCGGATTATATCTGTGCGTTGCAGATATAGAGCATTCAAGTCTCGAACGGCCTGCACCTAGCCAACATATCACAAGGTACCGATGTGTGTGTTTAATGACTTCATTTCCGTCCGGCTTCTTTACGTATCACAGAATGAACGCTCCGGTACCAGGTCCGAGGCAGGGCCTTTTCTGATGAAGTGCCGATGATTTTAGAGATGCGGTAGCTCTTCCACGTACGAACTGACACTCACATGATATCAAGATCTCCTGCGAGTCCGACCGGTGTCGAAGTTTGCACGAGATCTCCTTCAAGTTCTCGAGTTTGACATTGCGTATCAGCCGGTCCAAGCAAAACAATAGTATATTTTTCGGATCAGCCTGTACTGACTTCCATAGCTCACCATGCAACAGCCAACTTGGTGGGCTGGGAATCTTTCAGGACTCATTCGTCCGATGCTATGGCCTGCTGACCTTCTGTATTCTTGTGTTCGTCCATTGCTCGCCCTATGTTCCGTGCTATTGTCAGCATGGCCTACTCTGGAGCAGATCCAAAGAATCCTTTGCTTTCAAGTACTCATGCTGCATCCATCAAAGGGAGAGGTAAACGGGGATAGGAAGGATCCCGATTAGTTCCATAAACATATGGAGGCTAGTTCTCCGAAAAGATCTGACCAAAATACTCCAGCGCTTATGTCGTGATATCGGCAGGTGCCTTTGGAAGTGGGAAGCGGAGGTTTAACGGTGATGATGATCCTTCAAAAAGACGTCTGAAAGTAGCTTGTTGTTTTTGCTACCCTCGTGGGATCGCGCTGAGCTACCCTTCCATGTCGTTGAATGAGCTTATTGCTGCTAGCCTACGGGACGACCGGTCAACCCGGTGTGCTGCTCGTGAGTGACTGCTTCGCTAGGCGGACGCGTGGTTATTCATCGCATTTATTGCATTTTCAGTGGCTTCGGGTGTAATAGTGCTGTTTGATCATCGTAAGTACTAGCGTTGCGACTTGTTCTTGTGATCGAACTAGATGTCTTTCTCTACGCAGTGATTACACTCGATGACGAGGTAAGCATCTAACCTTTCTGATTACCCAATTCATCTGATCTGACCAGGTAGAATTGGTCTGGGTACGTGCTACCTAGTCCTGAGTGCTGGCGTTAATGACTGCTCATATAGAGGAGCCACTGGTCAATGGGCAAAATCTTGTTCATAATTGTACGTCTTCATGTAAGTTTGGGTCTTGAGCGTATAATGAATTTTTGTTACTTCAGAATCGCTATTACACGCTATCATCTGTCATGTATGTTTACTTTCTTCCGGAATTTGAACCTCATCGTGATGCCTTTTTTTAAGTATCAATTGCTATGGTTCGTGACCCATCGAACAGAGACAGCAAGATTCTGATCCAGGCGCGTTCAATCTACTATAGGCCTTTTCACGACGTCGCTGTCTGAGTCGGTGAGGTTCTGCCTCAATTCCTTTTACATGTCTCTCAACAATTTCCCCTAGTTGTAAGTCTTCGAAATTTCATGCCAACCGACGTTGGGATGCGATTTTTTTTACATAGTTGTAAGTTATCATCTTTTAACCTCCCGTTACGACTAATCTCCTTGCAGGTCACCGTTTCTATCAGTGGCAAGGATGGACAGGCCTGATTGCGTGTATGATTGCGGAAGGTTCGTCTGTTCTCCATTCTTGTCAACGCGTATCTATAACTCTGACGACATAAGTGATATTACAAATGCGGCTTTACGCACTGTATCTCCTCAACAAAAAAGTATTAGCCCTCATGGTCACAAGCTTTATTATATGTTCAGCTAGCGCAGCAGTTATCATGGGCATCGTTCTATCTAATATAAGTAGTACGTCCTATCCTGGTCTTCCCTCGACCCAGATAATTGAAGATAAACTCGCAGCGGCGCCGGCCGTCCTTCCAGGTACCTCTGTTTGTGCATCGAGCGGCACACCGCATTATTTCTATGCTTTCTGGATTCCCACCATCGTTTTCGAATCCCTGCTGTGCGGGCCAGCGTTGTTTCGGGGATTCCAAACGTTCAGGTCCGATGGACCTCTCTTTAGCTCTGGACGACAACTTGTTAGCATCCTTATCCGAGATTCAGTGTTCTATTACGTGGTGTAAGCACGCCACCTCATCCTTCCTTCTTCTGTCTGATTATCTTTACAGCATGTTCGCAACATACCTTACCAATCTACTTGTCTGGACTGTTGCACCAGTAAGAACTCAGGATGGGGATATAATACAGCATCATCTGACCACTGACACAGGCCGACCTTCTGGAGATTCCTATAGGGTTTTCCGTCACATTTTCGTGCGTCATGTCCAACAGAATCATCCTTAACGTTCGTCAAGCAAGCCAAAATTACATCGAGTCCAAAGCTACTGGCCATACAGAGAAAGACTCGAATAAACCCGCGGATCTACTTGTGGACGAGGGATATGTGTCTGATATTGAAATGATGCAGTTGCGCTCGATGCGTTCTGAGCATCGACAGCCGGCCATTATCATTTAATTCGTTATTTGTAACCTATAAATTATCAGTTCACTCTATCTACATCTACTTTACAAATTAAACATTCATCGCTCAATCTCGAATAAAAATGCGTTCCTCCCATTCGCGGAACTGCGACGGCATTTCTGATGCACCATTGTCCTGAACAATCAGTCGGATGATCAGCAAGCCAAGAAGGGGAGAATCGTATGTCACAGCCTCTACTTGCAATCGGGCGTATTGATCCCCATCTGTAAGAAGGCTTCGTCCTCATCGATGGCACTACGAAGAGTTCGATATCGAAAAATTGCGGGAAGGTGATGTTATGAATCCGACATTACTATTCCTTGATACCAACTTCTAGATCATTGCCCGTCATCGGGCAGATGGATGCTGTTGTAATCGTGGATGGCGTTGACTTCTCAGTAGAGCGTGTGGACACCGGAAACGAGGAGACTGTTTATGTTCCGAAACTTGTAAGACATGCATGAGCGAAAGCGGAACACAAGATGCTTACTCGCAGAGATATCCGAGTGCCGGACGAAAATATCTTGATCTTCGCCTAGAAGAGAGACGGCGACCTCGGTCTACCTCCTTATTACAATCCTGATTTTCTGCTTAGGCACATACTACCGAGAGTTTCGCATGAATTTCGACATGCTGTTAGCAAATTGGTTTTTTGGAAGCAGAAACATGGGATGAATTATAATTATAAGACTAGTACGTTTTTCCAGTCGGAGGCACAAGCGCCTCAAAGCACTATGATAGGCTGTATAGTAGCCAGCTGATTATGGGCTTATAGCGCAGTGGTAGCGCGCACGCTTTGCATTGCATGATCATGATTGCGTAGCCAGCTGTGTGAGGTCCGGGGTTCAATCCCCCGTGAGTCCATCTGGTCATCTACTTGAGTTGACTACCTTTTTATAAAGTTTTCCCGGATTAGTGGCAAGTGTTTTGTGCTGTGGCTTGTACAGGGCTCTAGGCTATGGTCCGTGAGTTGTTGTTATAGGTGAAGAGATGGATGAGAGGAAGGCGCCGAACAGTGTTAATCTTCGTATATGGAATCAAATGTAAGCTAAAGCCACGGTACGCGCACGCTTTCAGTTCTCTAATAATTCTGAGTTCATTGGTAGTAATGTCCTAAGAGATCTTTTGACGGTCAGAGGCACAGGGCTTTTTCTATTCACCCAGCGGGCGGCACAAGTTTTTTAATGTCACTTTTCCTCCCATCTTTCACCGTTCCAAGCCACCTCGACACTCCATTTGTCGCTGCCAATCCATTGGTCTTTCAAAAATCCATCCCACCATTTTACATGAATCTCGCCAGCGTCATCAAACCAATATCCAGCAACTCGTGGATCTGGCCCTAGATATTCATTTCTAGGATGCACAACTCAGTTCGGTTTATACCTCATGTTATAAACACTTACCGTTTGGAATCGATCCCGTCCGCATGTACAAAGTTTGCGGCTACCCCTCCGCCTCCCCAGCTTTCCAAATAATAGATATGCACCAGTTGATTGATGTCCGAGCCTGGATAAACGATGCGCGTTGTTTCCCCGTCCTTAGCCATGTACGACGCGGGCAAATGTATTCTTGTCCGTTTGCTTGCCACCATCTTTACTAACGGCCATCGGTTAACCTCCCAGGCTTTGGCGCGTCTTTGATCTGTAAAATTTTGCACCGACTCCTTCTTCTTCGACAGATCAGGAGGAGACTTTTCAACGTCGAGACTTGACATGGACCGTTGAGGTTAGGATCCGGAAAATATTCGCGATCGATCATACGCATCATGATGGAAGCGAGGCATCGATTGTGAAGGTTTCAAAGGGACTTGTACATATACATAACAAGGCCATTCTATAACTTGTTAAACAAACCATTCTAGTATCAGATGATAAAATCTGTTCGGAATAACTAACAAAGAGGTAATTCGTACACCGATATACAGTACTAGTAGCTAAACAGTGTCCTGGGAAAACTCGAATTTCGTGCAAGCGATAGTGATAGCGATATATAAAATAGCGAAAGAAAAGACTATGCTCCCTCTGCAGACAGACCTTGCTGCTGCGAGAACGAGCCAACAAACGGCGTAGTAGGGCTGAGAGTAGCCCCGGACCCACGGGAAGAGTAAGTCAAGGCAGGTGAAACAAGCGGCGGGGATGACTGCTCGACGTCATAGACATCGCGGTCAGGATCCGCGAATACGCTATGAGGGTATGCCTGTCCGTCGTAATTGTTCTTGAAGTCGTCGCCCGCCTGAATATTACTGCGATGATGACGGAGCATAACAGAGTTGCTGGCATTATTTTTCAGGTCGCCCGTGTAAGAGTCATTGTTGAACAGGCGGTTGCCATTTGGGTGGATGTTATTTTCGCTGTTGATGCTACTGATAGAGTTTGCAGATCTGTGCTGTTGGGCGCGCTGCGCAGTCGCACGTAGAATTTCCGAGGATATATTCCTCGATTTTGGGATACTCATGCTGCTGTGTTGATAGTGACGAGAATGATGCTGTTCTGCAGAAGAAGTCGAAGTAGAGTGCGGAAGGGTCGAGGACCTGACATGAGCCTGCTGATTATTATGCTGGTTGCGATTTGACACTTGCGAAGAGACGTGAGAGGAGTTCTGAGAGTATGATGAGATATGGGAATGAATCTGGTCAGCGTCACGGTCACCAGGTAGACGAGAACCATTCACGTTGGATTGGTGAGTGCTTCCGTTTCGAGACTGCCCACGAAGAAAGTTCTGCCCCTGCTGCATCGCTGACGACGATTGGAACTCTTCCTGTAAAGCGGGAAGAGAGCCGTTCATTGTGCGGGGAGAATGGTATGCATCTTGCCGTTGAGCCTGTAACTGAGAAAGTGAGATGGTGGAAGCTGGCGCGCGAACACCCCTGACACCCACGTTGTAGTCGATGGGCTCTCCTTGACATTGTGCCTGAGCTTGGGACAGATCCAACCTCGTCGGGCGACGACGCTGATTCGCTAGATTGCTTCCGGCAGCATGGGCCTGTAGGATGTATTCCTCGGTTGCAGTGAATCCATTCCTTGCTTGAGCAACACCACCACCAATGACGGGATGGTGGTTATCGTATCCCAAGTTGATGTCGACGTCACCAAGGGCGCTGCGGAAACCTGCTACTTGAGGAATGCCGCGATGGTGGACAAGCCCGTCCGTGAATCGATCATCAGTACTGTTATAATTGCCGTTGCTACGAAGGGTATTGATCAAAGCAGCGAGTTCTTGGCTTTGAGCGGCAGAAGAGAGTTGGTCATACGGCGACTGTTGGAGATCACGAGCACTTATAGGAAGTCTTGAAGAAGCGAGGGCTGGATTGGAAACGATGGGGATACCATTTGCTCGGTAACCAAACCCAGCTGGTATGGCAGGCATTCGAGGAGAAATCGCGGAAGGGAGGGTTGACAAATGTGGTCTGATCATAGTCGACGCCGATGGGGGACGGATAAATGCGACTGCCGCCGACAGTGAGAGGAACCTGCGTCTGTTGAGATCGCAGTTGCTCTCGGCCGTGCAGGTTCAGGAGAGCAGCTTGAGCGATAGTTAGCCTCGACGGGGACTGATCATCCTCTTTCACAGAGCGCTCAGTACGCTGAAACGAATGGATCAGACGGTGTTGGGACCCCAAAAGAGGCTCCTTACACGTAACTCGCGTTGCTCAGATGTATCGGCAAAGCGAACGGAAATCCGGCTACCAGGGTCGTTCCAGCCTCTCACCATACGTCCATGGAGACGCTCAATAACTTCCTCGGCACCAACGCGGGTGTCCAATCTAAATGTACGCATTACTGACATAAACGGAAAAGTAAGCCTAAAACCAACCTCACAAAGGCTATGATTCTTGGGGGATTACTGAGTCTTGTCTGGAAGAATCTACTGCTCTTGATCCTGTGAGGCGACACCAGGGCACCGAGAGACTAGAGGATGACCAACGTCAGATTTTATATATGATGGACGGCACGAGAGACTCACGGATTCATCGATGCTCAACGGTAAGCTGTCATTTGCATAAGTACGGTCGTGCGTCAGAACGGTGTGAAGCAACTCACCCTTCAATGTACAAATTGGTGCTATTGGGATCGTGAAGTCTTTCCATTTTCGCTTTGAACGAACTGTCGTCGCCTTGATCCACTGATGAAGCTGAATGACTGGAGGAGATCGACGGGGCTTGAGCGTAAGTCGTTCCAGGAATCTTGTGAATTTGCTGTTGTGAGAGATCACTTAGTAAGGATATAACGAAGAAGAGGGTACCACTAACCTTCGAAAATGTCGGATGCAGATTCCTGAAACGTCTCAAAGACTGGATACATTTTTCCGCGGCGTCAATTGTTTCGAATCTGGCAGAGGAAAAAAAAGTAAGAGAATGCATATGGATTGGGGATATATATGCGCACAAAACAAAACCATATCCACTCTCTTTCTCCCCTACATGCCTTGTGAAACTCCTGACGCTTCTCACAGGGCCAAAAGGTGCAGCAAGCTCGAAGAGTTGGTCCTCGGGATAATTTGGAGGTAGTCCGTTAATATACACGTTTGGAGTCTTGTTGGAATCGTCGTATGGATCACCGCCGTCGCTCTTGTCTGAGGGGGCAGGCGTCCAGTTACCACCAGTGGCCTGTAGCACTGTTCATAAACGAAGATGGAGCCGCTTGAAGAATTTCAATGTCTGGCAAAGGAATGTAGGTTGCCTTCTTCGATGGAGCACTGGGCACCACTTCCGGAGACGACGGAAGAGCGGACGGAGATGCACGGTCGCCTCGGCGGGGCAACGGCGTCACGTCTGCAACCTCGCCCAGCTCAAGATCTACAATGAACGTGTCAGTAAAACGTGAAAAAGGGATAGAACGACACGTGCCAGAGGTAGGAGCGGTTGTTGAAGGGCTTCTGATACGAAGTGAACGAAGAAGTGTTCCTACATCCTCTGAAGCAGAAGAACCAGTCTCTGCTTCCTCCAGCCCATCGCGGTGCTTGTAAGAGTGCGCGATCTGGCTGGGGCTACCAAATGACGAGTGGTACGAGGAAAAAGACGATTGGGTTGTCGAAGGCGTAATTGCTGATCGCGAAGGATTGCTGGAAAACGAAGCAAATGTTGAGACTGATGGAGCTAATGTGAACGAAACTGAAGTCGATGTCGAGGAAGAGCCTGGCGAAGAGTGTACAGATGCAGAGGATGGAGAGTTGGAATGAATCTTGTATCGAGAATCTGGTAGAGAAGATGGTACGAAATCGCCTGCGTTGGGGTTAAGAAAACCCGTAGATGAAGAGACGACCGATTCTGGAGGAGAAGGAGGTGCCCGCGTTGGTGGAATCGGCGTGGAAAGAGAGGAATGAGGGGAGCCGGACATGATGGAAAACGGCTTTATCGATATAATATGGAAAGCGACAGGGGAAAACGTCGATAATGTCGGTAGTTGAAAAGAGCTTGGAGCTGGTACCGCAGCCGAAATTGCGTACAAGGTACGTTATAAAGATAATGTTAAAGTAGAGCTAGTTCGAGTAGTCAACGTAAAAGGCGAGGGCGAATAAGCGGGTATGGGTGCGGACGGGTGTGAGGGTAGGGAAGAAAGAGGCAAAACGGATCTCCTTCAACGATCCCCCGACTTTATAACCAGTGCGATGGGACAAATAATGGCCTTTTTGAGCAATTTCGGCCATTTTTTGAGGAAATTTCCCGGCCTAGCTTGACTACGACGCGTCGTGCACTTCATAAGAAGCTTCGATTGCTCGGCATCCACCGGCAGCGCCTCTCATCGACCGATGCAGGCTTCGCTTCCGACTCTAAAGGGAACCTGCCAGCAAGTCAGGCCTCCGAGACGTCCGAGGATGTGCGACGATGCATAGCAGATCCACCTGTCACACTGCTGTCGAATCAA